ATAAAAAAGCCAACCACTGTGCGCACAATGGAGGCAAACCACGTGGTTACTATATATCATATCAATAAGTATCTGATATATCTCTATTTTATAGTATATTTTTATACATAATTAAGGGATTTTATAATGTTTAAATGGTTTAAAATGTAGAAGATATTCATATTTTGAATTAAAGAAATTATATAAATTAATTGCTTAAAATTGTATTTTTTATTATATTTTTTATAATTTCCCTTTTGAAAGGTATTTTTGCTTTGATTTCAGGTTTTATCCAATATCATTTAAATTCAAAGGTCCTTTAAATTTTGTTGCCATGAAGTTCACACCAAATCAATAATTCAAATTTAAAGTTCTATCAAGATTATAAGATAAAAGAAAATAAAAGATAAAGTTAGAAGACTCAAGGGTTTCCTCATCTAACTAGGACAGGTTCAAGAGCTATAAAAGGAGATCAAAGGAGCCTTGGAGAAGCACCGAAGCCATCTACACTACACAAGCACAACCATACACTTGGCTTCCTCTTGTGTCTAATTATTTCATTGTCTTTTTATTATTTTCTTTTTATCATTATGGTGTCATCTAGCCATATGTGTGGCTAGTCCTCTTTGTTATTAAGGACAACGTGACGTGACTTGAGTTTCTGTTTTTATTTGGGAGTTTGCTAGTTTTCATATTTCAATCCACTAGTACATTGCGTCTATGAATTTCTCAGGTTAGGATTTTGATTTCTTTTGTGGACTGATATTTGATTTGTGTTTCAGTTGAACAATTATGTTTTGAAGTTTTCAATGAATATATTTTCAGTTTCCTTATGATTCTATGAGTGTTTATCTTTATAGATTTTTATTTTGATTTGCACAAGTAGTTTATACTTTAGGGTTTTCAATAGATAACTCTTTTTAGGAACAAGATATAATTGTTTAATTAAATTCACAACTAAGTGGTTTTTAAATGATTAATTGAAAGGTGATTATATGCTAATTTTCTAGATATAATTATTAATTAATTAATCATGACTTAGATGTTATTTAGGGTTTTTCTTTTTGACTTAGCAATTGTTTTTATACAAACTCTTCATCCTTTTGAACTGTGATAGCCACTCATCAACATCCTCAGGAAGTATATCATTCTGGTAAAGTCTTCGTTCCTTTCACTTCCTTTTACTTATTGTTATTTTCTTTTTATTTTTGTCAATTTATTTTCTTCAACAAATCAATCAATTTTCTTTCCTACTCCTTCCTTCTTTACATCACGTTTTTCTTAATTAAAAAGGTTTTCAAATTTTTAACAAAGCTCCTCATAGAGAGAGGTGACCTAGAAAGAGAGAGACGACCTAGGTTGACCTCTATACTATATAGGGCTAATTTATTTAATTAATTTGAGAGCTTACATGACAGGGGGATCAAATTTTGGCAACCTAGGTCGTCTCTCTCTATGAGGAGTTTTGTTAAAATTTTAAAAACCTTTTTAATTAAGAAAAATGACAGTGAAAAAATAAAAAGACAGTGAAATAATTAGACACAAGAGGAAGCCAAGTGTATGGTTGTGCTTGTGTAGTGTAGATGGCTTCGGTGCTTCTCCAAGGCTCCTTTGATCTCCTTTTATAGCTCTTGAACCTATCCTAGTTAGATGAGGAAACCCTTGAGTCTTCTAGCTTTATCTCTTATCTTCTTTTATCTTGTAATCTTGATAGAACTTTAAATTTGAATTATTGATTTGGTGTGAACTTCATGGTAACCAAAGTTAAAGGACTTTTGAATTTAAATGATATTGGATAAAACCTGAAATCAAAGCAAAAAGACCTTTCAAAAGGGAAATTATAAAAAAATAATAAAAAATACAATTTTAAGCAATTAATTTATATAATTTGTTTAATTCAAAATATGAATATCTTCTACATTTTAAACCATTTAAACATTATAAAATCCCTTAATTATATATAAAAATATACTATAAAATAGAAATATATCAGTATCATAAACTCCTCAGCTTAACCACTAATGCATGTCATGCATAAGCAACAATTTCAGTACATGCAAGCATGCTTGAAAAAAATAAATTACCATATATTTTAACAACTATAATTCTAACATAAACATGCTTAACAAGAGAATCCAAATAACACATAAAATAATAGAATCATACCCCTTTATCTTTTCATAGTCTCAACAATTTACTTGCATTTAAGCAGATAGAATTATATATATATAAATTGATATACATTTAATCATGACACACCCATAAGGCTTACATACACATAGAAAAACCCCATGTTACTTGTGTTCTCTTTTAACTCACATGCAATCAAGCAACAAATTCCAGCAATAAGAACTCTCAATGACAGTCTACAAGAATCACACATATGCAAATGTTAATTCATAACTCATGCTATTAAAAATCTATCCTAAGAGTACCTTAAGTTTACTCTAAAACTACGTTAAAGCCTTAAAGTTGCTCTAAGGAACCCAAATTAAATATTATTAAATTCTCCTAATTAAGATTTAACGAGTATTAATCTTTTTAGTTTAAATCTACAACGTGCGTGTAAATATCCATGAGTAGGAAATATATGTTAAGGTCATATGTTCCTTAATTTTAGAAAATAAAATAAAACGATTTTCATGTGTAAAATACAACCTTAAATAATTACCATTTACAATAAGTTATATTGTGGGTAAAGGACAAAGAGTTGCAACATATTTCTGTGAACTATCAACCTTAAGAAGAAATAAAATATGTAAAGTTGAAAATATATATATTCATTTGAGAACAATCCCCTATATATAATATACAAAATAATTGATTGTCAAAAGTCACTGTACCTGCAACAGGAAAGCTCTAACTTGTGTGATCTTGGTTGAGGCAACAATCCAACATGACAATATTAAATGAAGGAAGAAAAGGGGAAAAAAAAAAGAGGAAGAGAAAAATTGATAGAAAGAGACGGATGGAGTGTGGCTAATATCACACACATATATGGGATTGATGGAAGCAAAAGCAAGGCTTGTGAACATCATGAAAGGATACAAAAGAAAGCATGGGGAAGAAGGGGCGGCCGTGAGATTGGAAAAGAGTGAGAACACATTAGGTGCATGTGTAGTTTTTTATTCTTTAGGTTAATAAATATACATAAATATTTAAATTACATTTTATTTAATTTATATAATTAAATTTTGAGTTTAATTGTTTTGAGATTTATCCAATCTGATTAGATATACATAATATGTTAATAACTCCATATCTAATATCCATTTTTTTTGAATTTTTTATAATTATTATTTACTCAACATAATATTATTTAATTCATGACTAATTACTAATTAATATACACTCACACGGACGTATCAAAGCATTTATTCTAATAATTGTTTCTTTTTATTAGACCAACATATAAAACTAATATTATAACATACTATCTTTCTCATAAATTATAATATATCCTCCTTGTACCTTAAATTATCATTAAATCTCTAAGTCCTCGAAAATCAGGATGTTATAGAGGGAAGCAGTAGTAATGATCAATTTATCATTTTACCCTTACATATTATTTTTTATTTTTGTTTATATATGACATAAATTAATTTGCATCTTAATTCAAATTACATAATTTGATAAAAATGCAATATTGTTATATTAATATGCTTATTATTGTTTAGTAATTTTTTTTCTAATTACCATAATAATATATTTTAAATAATCAAATTAACAAATTTACTTTGTTCTTTTTTTTCGATAGACAAGAAACACTAGTCAGACAAACTACAACTTCACGTCAAGCAAAAGTGATTCACAAACAAAGTCTGGTGGCATAGAGAAAACCATTAAACCACTCGCCCTTTGCAAAGCCTTCTTAGGGTGTGTTTGGGTTACACCCCAAACTATGGTTTGGGGACCCAAACCATAGTTTGGGGAATAATCTATCCAAACACCCCCTCCAAAAACCAAAACCATGGTTTTGACTCCAAAACCATGGTTTTGGAAAAAGCAAAATTTTTTTGCTTTTGGAGAAAAAAGGAAAAGTGTGAGGGTCTATATGATATGTATCTTGTTATTTTTTTTATAAACATATTTTTTTATAAATATATTTAATCTTATATTTTATAAATATATATACACATTAATTATTTATTAATTATATTATCTTATGTATTATTAATTATGTTGGTAAAAAACATATTATTAACAATTTTATTCATTCAAATTAAAATATATCATAAAATCTATTTTTTCTGTAATTATCATATTAACTTATGTCTTTTTTTTAGTAATTTGTATATATAAAAAGTGCTTCTGATAACAACTATCCAAACACTCTCACTTCTCAGAATCACTTTTTTACAAAATCTATTCTTCACAGAATCTATTTTCTCAAATCTATTCTCCAGAATCACTTTTCCAAACCACGGTTTGGTTTTATCCAAACACACCCTTAGCCAAAATGTCTATAACAGCATTTGACTCCCGTTTGCGCCAGTCCACTTGCACGTCCCATTGCACGTCCCATTCTTGTTCTCTTTTGGCTATGCTTTTTCTTCCGGTTTTAAAACATATTTTAGTTAATAAAATAATATTTTTATAAAAATTAATTAATTCATAATAATATAATTTTTCATTGTAATAATATTTTTTTATTTTAAATTAATTTTTATTACAATATATTTTAATTATAATAATATACCTTTACTTATTTATAATAATGCATTTTTATTTTAAATTATTTTTATCATAATATTTTATTTTTATTTTTATTTTTATGAGAATTAATGAAATATAAAAAAAATAAGAGAGTAAAATTATCTTAGATTTTGGTTCTTCAAAAATTTCAATTTAGAGAGAGCTAAAATAAAAAAAAAAAAAAAACGAGGAAGGGGAAGGGGATTTTTATTTTCTTCCAAAATTTCTAACCAGACTTGGACTTTAATAAAATTTAAAGGAAATTAAGAAAAATCCTTTTGCCCTAGCCACTCTTTAGTTTTCAGTTCCCTCGTCTTCGCAAATGCAAGTCGCCCCCTTCACACGTTGAGTCTGTCGTCCTACTGCTGTTGTCGTTTTCTTCCACTTCAGTCCGTCACTCTTTTTCGTCTTCACCTTCAAGCTTCATTTCGACGGCCTGAACCCTGAATTTGAATTACCGGACCGGAGGGAAGCAAAACCTCTTCAAAATCCTTGAATTCTTGAGGTACCTGTCCATTGCTACCTCCTTAGAAGAAGTTGAGGCGAAGCAAATTCAGAACGCAGAAAGATGGTTTTGGGGCTAAGAAATTTCACTGAGAGGACCGGACATGGCGTCGGCCAACCAGTGCTTGATATCGGCAATGGCGAGGAGCTCATGCGCGTCCAACCAGGGGTTGATATCGTCCTAGCTAATCGTCCTCGCGAGTCCCATGGCACTCTCTATGTTTCTAACAAGTATGCTGTTTTCACCTGTGTATTTATGTCTTTCTTTGTGACTTGCAATTGTTTTGTTAATTTTAGGTGAATGGTTATATCAGTTTGGGCGAAGTGATCTAAACGGAGGTTCGTTTGGATTAATGATTGAAGAATATTAACAAAATATTCGACTTAGTTGAGTTTTGTGAGCGTGAAAGTTAAACGGAAGAATAAGTAGCGGTATGTATGGGCGAGGGCGTTGAGTCTTGAGCTTTTGTTTTACTGTAACCATGTCATTTGATACAATTTTCTGCTTCTTAGGGGTGTTTGGGTAACTCAAAAACATTTCTCAGAGGTATTTTTTCGCAAATCGTGACAAACTCCTCTATATATTTACTTCGTATGCTGTAAAAATACTTTTAAAAGTATGATTTTGTTTCTACCCAAACACCCCCTTGGTGTCTTTGGGCAGAAGTTGAGATAAATAACAAATCTAAAAGAAACACAAAACGGGATGCCACAGCCACTGCATGAATAATCTCCTTTCATGTGGTCTATCTTCATTGGTCTATTCAAGTTGGCTCATGATTGTTTCATGAGACTTGTGGTTAAAATTCAGAATGTGATACATTTACCCTGGCATAATTATGTGTGCATATGTGTGTGCATGGGATAAAACAGAAACTCAAGATATGCAAATATGAATTCTCCGTATTATTTACTATCAAGTTCTGCTGAGAATATAAGCACAAAGGCTATAATCATCAACCAAAAGCAACAGAAGAAATCATCACATTACACAAGATAATGGAAATACATTGAAAACAAAGCACATAAAGCAGAAAGAAATATCAGAGGGAAAAGACAGAGAACAATAAGAGGGAGATTGAGATTCCAAAATGTTGCTTGCCAAATCCTCTGACAATAACCGAATTTATTCCTCTTTCTCCCATATCTTCCATGTGGTCCTGCAGGCTATAGTGCTCCTATGTGGCATCGATGGTGGATCCTTAGCATTTTGGGCTTCCTCCGATTCTACTTGGCTGCAACTTTCTAATCTTCTTTAGGCCCGTTCATGACAATACTCTCCCCATTGAATTGGACCTTGTCCTCAAGGTCGAATTAGGATAATTTGGTTAAAAATTATCTAGATTTTCCCAAGTTGCTTGTGATGAAGAATTTCAATTAACCAAAAGCTGGTTAGTCCAAGTATCTCAATGTTTAACCCTCCTTGTATCCAGAATATTAACTGGCTGCATGACTAGATTCCTATGAACAGAAATAGTAGTCAGTGGAGCAAACTAGGAGTGAGGGTCACTATAACATTTTTTTTTTTTTAAGTATGAAACATGAAGATTGGATGTAAACATGGCAACTTTAGTTTATAAGCAACTAACCCAATATACTGTATCATTTCAAATGGACCCTGATACCACAGAGAGTTTTTGAACCTTGTGTTCTTTCAAGGAGTGCTACCTATGTGGTTGTAACTTAACAAAGACATATTCTCCCTCCTGAAATTCTATATCAATTCCTGTCTGCATAGAGTTTCATTGATCCTGTGCCTTTTTCAAATTTTCTTTTAGTTGAATGAGCAAAGCATCCTTTTTAGCCAATTGATCCCATACTGCCCTAAGACCTCCAAGGACCGATCCGGCCTAACAAGTATTGGAGGTTCTCTCCCAAAGATAATCTTATAGGGTGACATTCCAACGGATGTATGGTAAGAGGAGTTGTAACAAAATTGAGCCCATGGTAAATAGTTAGTCCATGACTGGGTTGATCATGAGCAAAGCACCTCAAATACATCTTTAGGCTTCTATTCAGTGCTTCCAATTGACCATCACTTTGAGGATGGTTTGATGAACTCATACATGACTTTGTGCTTTGCATCTTAAATAATTGCCTCTAGAAATTACTAGTGATACAGGATCTCTATCTGATATCATGGACCTTGGTATACCATGTAAGTTAACAACATTTTGTACAAAAACTTCAGCCACATGTTTAGCGGTGAAATGAGTTTTTAAAGGCATAAAGTGGGCAAATTTAGACAATCTGTCTACCACCACTAAAATAACAATATACCCTTTTGACATAAGTAAACCGGTCACAAAATCCATAGCAATGTCCTCTCACAATTGTGATGGAATAGGTAAAGGTTGCAAAAGCCCATACAGTGACACTTGGATAGATTTAGCTTTTTGACATACCTGGCATTATTGTATGTACCTTTTTATATCAGCTCCTTGCCCTTCCACCAAAACTCAGCAACTACACAAGCATGGGTTCTTGCTATACCGCTATGTCCACCCACTAGAGAGGAATGAAACTCATTCTAAATTGTGTGCATTAACCTAGTATCATCATGAGGAATAACCAAAAATAGTACGCCATTACTGACTCGAAAATTTGATTATGCCAAAGGAGATTCAGTCACCTTTTGCCTTAACTCAAGCAGATTTGTGGATGTATTGATGGTTGTCTATACCGAAGTAAATAAGTCATTGGTATTAAATAACAGAGCCAAATAAGAGCGGGACAAAGCATTAGCTGCAACGTTAGTCTGTCTCGACTTATACTCTATTTCGTAATCATAACCCAACAACTTAGGGAGACAAGCTCCCTACTTCAGTGGTTGAATAGTCTGGTTAGCAAATGTCTCAAGCTTTGCTGATAAATTCGAATAATAAATGGATGGCCCACCAAATAGTGTCTGAATTTAGAAATAGCTTGAGTCAATGCATAAAGTTCATGAACATAGGCTGAATGGTTCTGCATGCAGGGCAGTAATTTCTTGGAAAAATGAGCAATTGGATGGTTGTTCTAACTTAACATAGTACCAGAACCTGAAGCATCCACTTCAATCATATAAAGTTGTGTAAAATCCGAAAGTAAGAGGATTGGAGCAGTCATCAAAGCTTGTTTTAAGCTGTTGAAGGCAGATTTAGATTCTGAAGTCCGTCTAAAAGATTTTTTTTTTTTTTGGCAACAAATCAGTCAGCAGAGCAGCTATATGAGCATAGTGCTTTATAAACTTCTTATTGTAACTAGTCACTCCTAAAAACCCACATAATTGAGAGATTGAGACAGGCATGGACCATTCTTTAATAGCAACTAATTTGTTTGGCTGCATTTCCATATCCCTTGGCGACACCACATGCCCCAAATAATCTATCGAATCATAGCCAAAAGAGCATGTAGTTATCTTAGCATGCAATTGATGTTGTAATAAACAATCTTGAACCAATTTTAAATGATGCAAATGTGTCGCCCAATTTTCACTATAGATGAGAATGTCGTCAAAAAATACAGGAACAAAATGACATAAGAAAGGTTGAAAAATATCATTCGTAAGGGCTTGAAAGGTTGTTGGTGCATTTGTAAGACCAAAAGGCATAACATGCCGTTCATAAAGCCCGTGATGTGTCCTAAAAGCCGTTTTATGTCTATCCTCCGACTTAACCAAAATCTGGTGATAACCAGAATGCAGATCCAATTTAGAAAATAAAGTTGCTCCTCTTAGTTCATCTAATAATTCATCAACTGTTGGAATAAGATAAGAATCCTTTAAGTCATGGCATTTAAAGCCCTCCAAGTATCATCTTTCTTTTGAACTAGCAAAATTGGTGCTGAAAAAGGACTAGTACTGGGCTGAATAATACCTTGGTCTAGTATCTCTTGAACCATCTTTGTTATGGACTTTTGACTAAAGGGATATCGATAAAGCTTAACTTTCACAGAAGTGATTCCATCTTGTAATAGAATGGCATGGTCATGAGACCTTTGTGGAGGAAGTCCTTGAGGAACTTTAAAAACTAGAGTAAATTGCTTCAATAATTTCAATAGATCATCCGGCAACCCCTCAGGAAATGCTATTTTAGTAGGAACTTTCGCAATCATACAAACCAGAGCACATAGCTTCTGAACAGAATTAGTATTTTGGTCATGCCTCATGTGATGGTGCTATAGAGGCTCCACACTATTGGACTGATTGCCAGTTAAAGTGATGAAGGAACTGTTCAAGTAGAATGTGATTGTTGCCATGCTGTAATTCGTGATATGAGGTCCTAGAGTGGCAAGCCAAGAAGAACCTATCACTAAATCTGACTCTACAATAGGTAACACAGGCTTGCAAAGTAATATTGTGACTATGAATATTTATCGTCAAATCTTTCACCATTCCTTCTCGCATATACAGACTATTACCAACCATAGCCTTATCATTTGAGTCATGAAAGGGCAATTTTAGATGAGACACAATACATTGATGGATAAAATTATTTGAACTACTCCCATCCAAAAGGATTTGCACCAAAGTACCTCCAATGGAGCCAGTAAAATGGATGATCGTCCTATTCTTGGAACCATGAAAAGCGTGAAAAGGCGCATGAGGCACATTAGATTCAGATTGGGGCTCAGAAACTGGTTCAGTGGCAGAGTTGAGTCCTTCAAGTAGTTCATTAGACTCGGATTCATGGTCATCAACCTGGAATAATAAAAAACAATGATTTGGGCACTTATGGTTCTAGGAAAATTTCTCGTCACAATTATAACAGAGCCTTTTTTCTTGCCAAAGTTGCATCTCAGCCGCTATTAACTTTTTTATCGACGATATGGTTTTAGATTGGGGTTTGGGTAACAGCCCAGTTAAAGAGGTCGCTGTTGGCGCTTTCACAGTAAGGGAACTAGAGACAATGATGTTGAGGGTTTCCTAAATGACATTGAAACAGAGTTGGACCAACCAGCATTTGGGCCTTTTTGTGAATGTCCACCAGTTGAAACTTTCTCATCAAATAAAATGGGCCGGTGAGGTAGCTCGATGGAAACAAAACGACTCTTAGGCTATCACTTCACTTTTGTGGGGTTGGTTTCAGCCCACTCAAGAAACAGTCTTGCAACGCTTCATCAAACAACCCCTTGACCCTATTAACGGTGGTTGTGAACTCAGTATGGAAGTCCGCTGCCGAGCGTGTTTGCTCCATTTTGAATAACTTGATCTTGGGATTTTCAAAATGAGGGGGACCAAATTGTTTTTCAATAGCCAAAGCCAATCCATGCCAAGTAGGAATTTGATTAGTTTTCTAGAGCATTTGGAACCATGGATCTACTGAGCCGTAAAAATGAATGGAGGCCACCGTAATCTTTTGATCATTTCGAGTATGATAGAATGAAAAATATTGCTTAGTTTGAAATAGCCAACTCAAAGTATCAGTACCATCAAAACAAGATAAATTGATTTTAATTTGTTTATCAAACTATTGTGCAGAGTTCATCGTGCCCAAAGACGTTGAAGATGGTGGGGATGATGTTGAAGAATTTTGTTGAGTCCATTGTTCCTAACTCCTGATTAATGCATCAACTAAGTGCGACAATGTTGCCAAGGAATGTTCGAAGGCTTAGAGCTTCGTAGTAATAGTGGTTAAGGTAGCCTCAACGTTCTCCAACCAATTCAAAACAACATGATCATTTTCATCAAGTCTCTTAATCTTTGTATTGATAGTTTGCGGTTGTGTATTCTTTGCCATTGAAGCAGGGAATGAAAGCACCAAATGGGCAAACCAGAAACTCAAGATATGAAAATTCGAATTCTCTGTATTATTTACTGTCAAGTTTAGTAGTACAAAGAATATAAGCACAGAGGCTATAATCATGAACTAAAAGCTACAGAAGAAATCATCACGTCACATAGGATAACGGAAATACACTGAAAACAAAGCACATGAAGCAAAAAGAAATATTAGAGGGAAAAGACAGAGAACAACCGGAGAGAGAATGAGATTCCAAAATATTGCTTGCCAAATCCTCTAACAATGACTGAATTTATTCCTCTTTCTCCCATATCTTCCATGTGGTCTTGTGGGCTCCAGTGCTTTTGCGTGGCAGCAATGGTGAATCCTCAGCACTTTGGGCTGCCTCCGATTCTACTTGGGCTGCAACTTTCCTATCTTCTTTAGGCCCATTCATGACAGTGCATGTATATTGTACATTACAACATTTTGCTATTTCATTGCATCATCATTTCAATGTTCGATGATGTTATTGATTGTACTTATTCGATACTGTTGATTAGCAACTTTAATAAGGTCAGGTAAAGAAGGTTGGGAGGTGTGTTTTCAATTGCTGACTGTGACACTGTAGTTGTGCTAGTAAGCTGACTTTTGTTTTACAGGAAATTGATATGGTTGAGTGATGTAGACGAGGCTAAAGGCTATGCAGTTGATTTTTTGTCTGTGTCGCTTCATGCGGTATCAAGAGATCCAGAGGCTTATCCAATCCCTTGTATATATACACAGGTACAGGTACCTGTACATGTAATGATTTTGTAACAGCTATGTCTGTGCTATATGGTCTGTATTATGGTTGTGTCACTAAGGGTTGGAAGGCATATGAAGTAACTGTCCTATTCTAGTTTTAGACTTGGAATTGCACGATCCAACTTCACTGCAGATTGTAGAATGCAAGCTCCCAAAGCGGGATAGAATAATGAAACTTGGATTTGAAAACAAGCATATCTATTTGCCAAGCTTATCAACGTGTAGACATTTTACAGCTTGTTGATTTGAATGAGTGTAGAATATAAAGAAACTTGTATTATATGGCTAAACTTCTGATGTTTCAATCTTATTATATGGTTTTTGGCAACAAATGAAAATTCATTATGTTCAAGAGATATTATGAGAAATACAGTTGAAGAAACTGAGAATTAAAGCTTAGTTCATTGAGATCAAATTTTGAAGAATTTCTTAAAATGACGATACCATGACTACAAACTAGAGTTATTGTCATGTGAAATTTCTTGTAGTCTCCATTTTTTCCTTTTCTTTTTCCTCCTGGAATTTAAGTGTTCTTGTATGCTTTTTCCTCCTTATCTGTCTACCTGCAGTAAATTATTAAGTTCTTGTCCTTTGATTTGATCCCTTCTGATTCTGACTGGGGTTCTTCCTGAAGATTGAGACTGAACCAGACGGGGATGAGTCTGACAACTCAGATTCAGAATCCAATGACACCTTGGATTTGTCCAGGATCAGGGAGATGAGGCTTATTCCATCAGATCCAAATCAATGTATGCATAATCCTTCTTCACAACTGTTGCTCTGATTCATAGGAAAGTATGATTTTCATGTTGGCATTTTACATTCTGTTTGCATTGTGGTTTCTTCAACTTAATCAAGCGTTGACAGTGTATCAGTTTGTTGTTTGGCAGTGGATTCTCTTTTTGAAATATTCTGTGAATGTGCAGAGCTTAATCCCGAACCAAATGATGGTGAGTACAATTCTTTCGTAGGAATTAGATTGTGTTTGTTTTACTGCCTATTCTCTCCTTTTTCTGCTTTAGTTATAACTTGCATTTGCTCACTATTTTTGTTTGTTTGTTATAGAGGAAGGAGAAGAGCATGAGTGGATTTTCAGCGCAGATCAAGTGGTAGATGAAGGTATGTGAAAGTCATTTATCTTGTTTCCTTGTGACATGCTTAGGCGTGAAATAAGTTTTTAACAACCTATTTTCCAGGGGACGAAGATTATATCTCTCAAAGTCCAGCCCACGCAATTGGTCAGTCAAATGGTGATCATGACATAGCTCGTACGGTACTCCAGGTAGGTTTTTGTGCCATAGAATTCCTTTATCTACCACTATTTTTGCAGACTGACGTTCTGACCTAGAGCATCAATTCCTTTTGAAAGTGATCTACTAGTGAACACGTTAAAAACCTCGCCTATCCTTTGATGATTCATTGATTCTCTTAAATTCCTTTAAAACCTTGCCGTAGAATAGTATTTATTGACTCCTAAATAAAATAGCGGTCTGCACAAATCTGAAACTTGAATCTGAAATCCTCCCCCCCTTACGAAAATCCTGTGAGTTGTGCTCAACAGTGAGGGTCAATCTCTATGGACTTTTGTTAGTTGAGTTGTGATATCAGGAGGGGCAAGGCTAGGAAAGATGTGAAACTTGGGGAGATCTACTACAGTCATAAATTTCATCGTAGGAAGCTTCGAGGATAGTGAATGGCAGCAGAGATAAGGAGTTTCTGCTGGCCATTAAGGATAAGATAGCGATGATTGCATGTTACATTGCTAGGCAAAGCCATTGAACACGGTGAAGAGTTTCTGCTGGCCATTAAGGATAAGATAGCGATGATTGTATGTTACATTGCTAGGCAAAGCCATTGGACACGGTGAAGGAATTCGATCCTATTTTTTCAAAAAAAAAAAAAGGGTTGTGTAAAATCTAAGTGGAGTCGAGTTGGAAGCCATCTAGGATGACTCAATGTTGACTCACTATGAGTTATGTATGATAAGGATAAAATTATAACATCTAGGATGACTCAATGTTGACTCATTATGAGTTATGTATGATAAGGATAAAATTAGAAGAAAAATTGAAAGATTAAGGATTGAGTTTCAGATGAGTTAAAAAGTTCAAGGATTAATTTTTTTGTTTTGCAGTAAAATAATTATTATATAGGTTAAATGAGCTAAGTCACCAAACCTATTGGCTGGTTTGATCAACCAATGGGTTGAATGAGTTGGGTTGATGTGATTGTATTCAAGACTTGTTCAAGTGAAGGCTCAATTCAACCGTCTGAACTAATGGGTTAAAGAGGCTGATCCAATGAGGTCAACCCGTTTTAACTTTTGATTCCTCTAGTTAGGAAAACCGAATTCTTTGTTATGTAGAGAAATTCTGTCAGCTTTCAATCCCCGTGTTTCCATTATTTAGGCTAGATGAAGATACTGTCCATTTATCATGGATTTATTTATTTATTTTTTTTGAAATTATTTTGATTGATTTATTCTTGTGATTGAATTCATGACCGGAATCTAGTTTGTTTGAATTTGGCATTTGCTATGCATATATGATCATCTCTTTGTTGATAAAACAAAATAGCGTTGTGTGATCTATGTAGCTGATTTCACTTAATGGGATAAGGCTTGTAATGTTGATATAATTATCTCTTTGTTGATGGCGTAGCTTTTTCTTTAGCAGCTTGAATGCGCTTTTATTTCACATATCCTCCCTTTTATAAAGGTTACGACATTAAATTTTCAACTCAATTTATTGTAGCTTCGAATTGATGATGAAGTCTTTGAGGATGCAGAGGAGATGGAGCATGATAGAAACAACACCCATAATTGAATCTCTGTGATTTCCTCCAAATAGCATCTTCCAGTCGTCTTAAGGCCATATCAGTTGTCCTTTGGTTAGTTGGATCCCATATGATGTAAACTTTTGTCCAAGGTGTACTTGATAGCAGAATGGTTAGAATAACTTGTGATACATGATCTAAGTTTTGTGGTCTTGCTAGAGTCATAACTGATGATTCCTTTAGGTGGTGTGTCCTCAAGGCAAGGTTCATTAATGGTTCTGGGTGGTGTTTACTTCTTGTCTTTTAGCCATCATGATGTTGTAGTGTCCTGCGAATTGTGGTGAGTAATCTTCTTTGTAATGCGTTGGTAGGCCATGCAATTTCTTTATACAAGATTGGTTAGAATGACTATAATTTAGATCCCAGTTGTTCACGTTGGGGTTCTTTTAATGAAATAAGAAAATATAACTGAAATGTCATTTTAAAATTTACTGGATATATATATTGAGGGAGAAGGAATAAAAATGCTTTTTAAATTTAATTTCAAAGCTTGATATAGCTTTAATATAGGCTTTGTATGATTCTATTTTTAATTTTTTTTTTAGAATAGTTTTATGGAATTGTTTCTGAGAACAAGTTTTGAGAAGAAATTTTTTTAAAAAAATCTGTTTGAACGATTGTTCTAAAAATTCTTGAGGAAAAACATAAAATTTTGTTTAAAATAATTGTTTTTAAAATTAATTTTTGAGTGGAAGGTTGGGTTTTTTTTACCACCGTGTGGTAGTTTAAGCTTCAGTTTGAGAGTTGGGAGCTCAAGTAGTTTTAAAAAGGTGTTTAGGTAACCTTAAAAATATTTTTAAAAAGCATTTTTTTAAAAAATCGGGATGAGTTTCTTTATATATTTATTTTGTATATTGTAAAAATATTTTTAAAATTGTGATTTTATTTTTAGTCAGACACTGTTCTCCATTTAACATCCAATTTCATAGAACACATAAAAGTGGCTCCTTTTTTAAATTTTTCGAATCAGATTATTATTTTTCATTGGGAAAAATATTTAACTGGAAATTAATTATTAAACAATCTTTTTTTAAAATTTTTTGTTTTAACATACAAAAAAAATTTTAGAAATGGGAAATTAAACAATACCATGGTTTTTTCTTACTTTTCTTTGGTGGGATTATCTTGGTACAACTATAGGAATCGTGTAAGATGTTGTTGTTGTTGTTATTATTATTATTATGGAAAACAAATGTAACTTTATTATTATATGGTAATATAATTTTTCCCATCTTTGGCAAGATTATCCATCTTTTCTACGGTATTACTCATGCATAACCTTTGGTAAGGTTGGCATTTAAGCAGGGATGAATTGGATGTCTTAATTTTTTTTTTCCCAACTAAAATACAATAATAACAATAACATCTTATCCTATGAGATGGGATCGATTATATAGATTGCACTTTGTCATTAGGTTATGTGAAAAACCAGATCTTTGGATAAATTGTTAGCTGAAAGATCTCATTCAATAACTAAATTAAATAGTTTTCTTTATCCTTCTTTACCCCTTTTCACAAGATTCCATATTGTTTGATTAATCTTCTTCACGAGCACATTTAATAATCTTCTTGGAATGTGTTCAAACCATTTCAAATGATTTCTATGATTTCTCTTCAATAAATGTCATTCCAACTTTTCTACTTTTATGTTCATTATGAATTTTTTTCTTATATGACCACCAATCTACCTCTGCATTATCATCTTGGTTGCCCCCCACTTACTTGTGTTGTCCCTTTAAAGTTCAATGTTCACTACCATATACTCTAGCTAGTCTTGTAGCAATGAGATAAAACTTTCTTTTTACCTTATTAGGTGTTTTCTAATAACAAATTCAGTGGTTTTCTTACATTTAAACCATCCAACTTGAAATCTGTGATTAATATCATTATGAATCTTTTTTTTTTTCCTTTTATATGATCATATATCTACATCTGCATTCTCATCTCGACTACTATTGTTTTTGCTCATGTTGTCTCTTTAAAATGCAACATTCATTACCATATAACATAGGATAACGGAAAATTTCAGTTCAGGAAGATGGTAGGACCTTATTTAAAAATTTTAAACCTTGAGAGACTGAAATGAGAATGAGTCCGCGTTAGGCGCCCATCAATGCTCATCCTTTAAACGGGGGCTGTTGAGCCACCTTTTTTATTTTTTTAATATTTGTGTTGCACGCATTTCAACTGTCAAAATTTACCCCTCCCCTCACGTGATGCTGCTTTCATTTTCCCATCCCTCTTTTTCTCGTCAGCTGTTAAGCCACTTGCTATTTTATATAATTTTATAGTTTGAAACAGGGTAAAGGTAAAATTTTATACTTCATCTTATTTCTTATTTCTTATGTATAATTTTATCCCTAATTTTTTGTGGTCTAATTTTATCCATATTTTTTACGCAATTTTATTCCTGATCTTTTTAGTAGTGTAATTACATAAAAAAATCATAAATAAATTATACCACTAAAAATATCACGAATAAAATTGTACTTGAGAAATCATATTAAAGGTAAAAGCATACCTTTGCTCCTAAAAGAATTGAACGTTAAAATCATATTAAGGGTAAAAGTATACCTTTCGTCCTAAAAGAATTGAACGTTAAGTTATTTTAAAAACAAGATCATATAATATGTAAACTACAAACTAGGCCTCCTACAATATTTCACGAAAAATCTCAACATGGTTTGATTGCTGCCCATAATTCCTTATAAACGTATAAATTGTGTAGTTGGATCATGCGAAATAATTTTAGGTGAAAGCAAAGTATTTATGTCTGACTTCGCAGAATTTACTTTGTTGGAATACTATATGAAATCAAAGTATTCATGTATGACTTTGTTGAAATAAATTTATAGCTCCCTTATTCTGATGGTAAAAGACCCTTTTTTTTTTTCATATAAGTATAATGATTCTTTTGTTGTAAACAATCCTATTCAACACACTATTAAGTACTAAATGTGGGCATTTCTATCAACAAAAATTTGAACTATATTTCATCATGTTGTGAGTGACTAACTCCTTCCATATGACCTAACCCAATTGGGAGACTATTTTTAGTGTATGAACCTGATAGGACTATTCAATCATGTGAAAGTAAAACAAGGTTCTTTTTTTTTTTTTTGACAGAAAAAAGCTCTTTTTATAATATTAAAAATTAAGATTTTGATGAGATCAAATTTAGGGAGTGTTTGGTTTCTTCTGAAAGCATTTTTAAAATGTACTTTCACGCAAGTCGATATAAAACTCTTTTTACATACTTATTTTGCAAACGTAAAATAACTTTTAAAATTATGATTTGGTTTCTATTTAAGCACCCTTTAAACTAAAATGTTAATAGTTTGGGGAGTTTTGCATCTTATAACTTAACATTTTTTTAATCTATATTAGATGTTACCTGATCCTTATTAGCATTTTTTTTTTATTTTTATACAATACATTTGAATTTTTAATTTTACTTAAAAAATTTGATTGATCCAATTACAATTAGTTAATATGTTTGTAAGAATTATGGGCAATTAATATAATTTATATGATAATTTTTTCAATAAATAACTGCAGTGTTTTTTCTGTTGACCAAGGTAGAGTTTAAAAAACATTTAAAATTAAAAAAAAATTAGTCGTCTATGATCTAACAGGTTGACAAGAGAAAAGGAGGAAATGAGGAATAGGAAAAAAGAAGCAGCACCATGTGAGGGGTGCGGTAAATTCGATGAGCACTTAATACGGACTCAGTTAGAAGCTTTTTCACTAACATGTCACGAACAATAAAAAAAATTTACCCCAATGCTACAAGATGAAAAATACTACCTCCTCCCGTTTTTTATCAAGAAACAAAAAACCGGACCGGGAGCTAAACCGGTCGAGGCAGTGGGTCAAGGGTCACTAGTAGAACCGGAGGTCAGACCGGGGTCGGACCGGTCATATTAAAATAATATAATTTAATTCACAATATTAAAATAGAACTGAATTCATAAATAATAATCACTCAAAAAAAAGATAGAAAGTTACAAAAGTAGTTTAAAGGTTTAATTGTACCAAGCAAATATTAATAAAATTCACATCTTCATCACTATACAAAATCAAAATCATCATCAAGATCATTGGTAGGAGCATGGACTAAGATATCATCAGTTGGGCGAGGAAAAGTAGGAGTAACAGTATCATCGTGCAAAGGTGGAGGATCAGCAATGTCCATATTTTCATCACCTATATAAGACAATAATCAATATTAATGATTATGCAAATAGTTATATATTCATCTAAGAATACTAATAGAATCTTAATTATATATATATATATATATACCTTCATTATCCCTCTCAAAAGTTGTTGAATTTGCAGTGCCTTCATTGTTAAGAACACTTTCAATTGTAGCCACATCTCTATCATCAAACTCAGGGGTGGGATCTTCTTCAGTCACCCAAAAGTCCACCATGTCAATATTTTCAAAGTCAATTGGATCATAATTTTTCTTCTTCTTCAATGTATTCCTTCAATGACAAATAAAAATTCAATTAATTATAAATCAATTAAAATAGAAGATTAAAAGCATTTAGTATTTCTAAGAGTACCTATGCTTCAATCGCAGATTATAGTTTGTGAAAACCAAATCATTCAGCCTGCTATGTTCCAATCTGTTTCTTCTTTTTGTATGAATTCTCTCAAACAAGCTCCAATTCCTCTCACAACCAGAAGAAGCAGAAGTTTGACTAAGAATACGCATTGCAATGCGCTGTAATTCTGGAACTGAACAACCATAATATGTCCACCACTCATCTGTATAATAAAATACATTTAGCATACAATATTATAAAGAACTAGTGAATAACTATGAAAATACTATAAAGTATTAACACTTACAAGGGTCTAATTTTTGTGCAGCTTTTTGACATGAGGGTCTACTGAAAGATTCTTTGCCTTCACGGTAAGTGGTTGCTTGTTTCATCACCAGAAAGCCATCAACATCTTCATCTGAATAAGACTCCACCACATCAATCAAAGCCATCATTAATTTTGACTTGCTAGGACAGTCTGGACCATATGTGATTGCAGGGTTTAACAAGTATGATGCTGCATGAAGATTGGTTTTCAAATGCTTGTCCCATCAAGCTTGGATAATTCTTGTATAAGGCTTATACATCTCCTTGTTCTTCTTAAACATCTCCTTAATTGCCATTTTTGCTCTTCGCATGCCTTCATAAACATAAGGCAATGAAGGTTTTTCATTTGAATCTACAATTCGCAATAATTTTATCAAAGGAGATACAATCTTTACAACTTCATTACAGTCATTCCAAAACCGGTTATCTAATATGATTGCACTAAAAATTTTTCTTGCTTCGGTCTTGGATAATTTGTGGTCCACAAAATGCTTATCAACAACCAAAGCTTGCAAGTCATTTTTGTGCATATATATGCTATGCAATGTAATAAATGTAGTAGCAAATCTTGTGGCACCAGGACGCACAATTTCTTTCCAGCTCGGTCTTTTTCTCAGCCAGGATAAGAAAACCATATGATTGTATGCAAAGATGGTTATTCTTGATGCCTTTGATGCAAGGTCCGACACATGAGGCATGCTGGAAAAGTCTTTCAATACAAGATTCAAACAATGAGCAGCACAAGGAGACCAATAAATGCTTTTATGCTTTTCCTTAATCAGTTTGCCACATGCTACATAGTTGGCTGCATTGTCAGTCACTACATGAACGATATCCTTAGGACCAATCCACTCAATGACTTCACATAATAGTGTAAATAAAGTTTTAGCATCTTTGACTAGATCTGATGCATCAATAGATTTCACAAATACCATACCGTGTGTAGAATACACTAAGAAATTTATCAAAGTGCGTTGTCTAACATCGGTCCATCCATCAGCCATGAGTGTGCAGCCATTGTTTTTCCATTTAGCTCGATAACAATCAATCAGCAACTGACATTCTTTTTTCCAATCACCCAATAAATTGGTTTTGAAATCATAAGCACTAGGGGCTTTAAACCCAGGCCCAATTGAAGCAATTCCATCCACAGCTTTTTGAAATAAAGGGCAATCAAATGCTTTAAACGGAATACAGTTCACAATAGCCCATTCAACAATCAACATTTTCACATTATGTTTTGCTTCTTTAGTTGCTAATGCACTTTTAATACCTGGTTGGGAATCAGGGGTTGTCCTAGGAGCAAAATAATTGTCCATACTCCCACTAGCTTTCCTCTTCTTTGAAGTACTCATGATAATTTGTGGATCAACATGGGTTTCTTCAACATCCTCTTCTAAGTTTTCAACAGTTTTTTTTTTGAAGATTCTTTCAAAGATTCTGACATTCTATGGCGTACATCATGTGGAACTTTCTTACAAGAAGCTATTTGACCAGTGATACCAGCAAGATGTTGCTTCATCCTATTTATCCCACCTCCTCTATAACTATTAGCACAGAAAAGACAAGTATATATATTCTGTGTCCCCTCTTTTTTGTATGCAATATGTGCCCATGCAGGATCAGTTTTGGTACGTAATGAAGAAGGGGGTGTAGGAGTGGAAGTTTCAGTATTAGGAGTGGAAGATCCCGTATTAGGAGTCACATTGTCACTTCTTGAACTTGGATTACTTGAAATATCCATCACTGTTACTAAATCTTTTTTGTATGCAATATGTGCCCATGCAGGATCAGTTTTGGTACGTAATGAAGAAGGGGGTGTAGGAGTGGAAGTTTCAATATTAGGAGTGGAAGATCCCGTATTAGGAGTCACATTGTCACTTCTTGAACTTGGATTACTTGAAATATCCATCACTATTACTAAATAACAAATGAAAAAAATCAAACATCTGGGGGTTCATTGCTATGGGATTAGCTCGGATAATATAACATCACTGATTAAAAATCAAAGATCAAATTGATAAATTCAGATTTCATATGAAATATGCACTTTAAGTACTTGGATCTAATATTCAAACACCATTTGCATAAATTTTCAGGTTACGACTTACGAGCATCATGCCAATATTCAGATGTGCTGACCAGATATCATCATGCCAAAATTCAGTATGATCAAATTTTAGTTAACGAATCCTCTCACATGTGCTGACCAGATATCATCATTCAAATAATCAAATGATGTTCCAAGTAAACGAATCAATATCATTGAATCAATTAGTAATTCAGTATGTTGTATGACCAAAGAACGCACATCATCATTCAAACAAATCAAATGATCTTTCCCGAATCTTATATCTATATCATACACGATATTGTTCTACATTAGAAAAAGGAAACAAATCTCATTTTATCTAAGCCTAGCTACTTGAGAATTCAGATGGAAAAAAAAATCGAAGAACGCACAAAGCTACTTGACCGAAGAGCAGAGCACGCTAATGATTTAATATCTAAGCCTAACTAAATGAAATTTACCAACAGGACAACAAGAGGCAAGAGCATAGAAGCGACCACCTACAGCTCCGACGATGATTCTGCCACCGGGAAGAAGCAACGACGATGGGAGGCGACCACCTGCGGCTGCGATGCAGATTTGAGCTTGAACCACGATCACCGGCTGCTTCAACGTTCAACCTCGACGACGTGACGCGACGATCCGAGACCTCCGATGGCGAGAAAACTCCGGCATAATGAGGTTGATTCAGCTAGGGATTTTCGATTTGGGGGAGGGTGGCGACGGCGAGAGAAACTGAAGCAGGGGCAAGGTCGTTCACTCGTTCGATTTGGACCGGACCATCTTCGATTTTTTGTTTGTTTGTAAATTTCCACTGCCAAACGATGTCGTTTCCATGGATTGGGGATTAAAAAAAAAATAAAATATTCAAAACCGGACAACCCATCAAACCGGCGGGTTGCCCGGTTTGATTCGGTTATTACCGGTTTGATCCGGTTAGTACCGGTTCAACTGCAGGCCGGTTTTTTTGGCCTCCCGGACCGGACCAGCCATCGGTTCACCGGTTTTCCGGTTAAACCGGTCGGTCCGGTCCGGTTTTTTTTACCTTGTTTTTTATATAAGACCCTGTTTGATTTTTATTTTGATTCTAAATATAAGACTCCAATCCACTTTGTATCCCATATTTATGTATTTTTTTCTAACATAGTTCTTCTAATAATTGTAGTTCTAGTCAATATAACTGATTAATAAGGTATTTTAGGAAAGACAATATCTATTTATTACAAATAACTAACTTAACTTCTTTTCTTAATCTCCTCAAATTAGTCAACTGGGTCTTATAATTAGGACTGGAGGTAGTATTAATCAGAATACTCCACTTAAAGTCGTACATGCAAAGAATGGGTTTAAAATTGTGAGAAAATCATTCAATCCAAGGACGATTTTAACTTAATTCCATTTGTCACGTCATCTAACATTTATATTTTTTTAATAAAGAAATAAAATCGTTCACAACAAAATCATTCTTCAAGTGAATGATTTTACTTTTTTCATACTTTCTCTCCTCTCCTTCTTTCGTTTCCCTCCGACTTCTCATTTCTCTTTGGCTCTAGTAATTTCCTCCTTTCTCTTCCCTTTTTATCCCTTTCCTCCAGCATCTTCTCCTTCTTTTCTCACCTTCTAGTTATTTGGTTTTGGAAAGCAAGTAGATGGACCATGTTATTGAATACAAGTATTAAAATATTGTTTCCATGAAAAGGATGAGGAGAGAGCATGGAAGACCAAGGGTGTTGTCCACTTATGGTGTTTTCAAATAAAATTTCAGTAAATGTGCAGTTTTACTTTTGATCTTATTTCTCAGGTGCATTTAGCACTCTGATCTTTTTAGTGGTACAAATTTATTCATAATCTTTTTTATTTTGGTACAATTTTACTTATGGTCTTTTTATTTTAGTGTAATGATTTGTCAACAAACATTTATAGTACCATTAGTAATGGGTAAGACTGCACCAAAATAAAAAGATTATGGATACAATTGCACTACTAAAAAAATCATGGGTAAAATTGTACCACTAAAAAAATCAGGGTGCTGGGCGTACCTGAAAGATAAGATCAAGAATAAAATTACACATTTACTCACGTTTTATTTGAAAACACATTAGTGTACAACAACCATAGTATCCCTTGCTCTCTTCTCTTCTCGTCGTTTTCACGGAAACAATATTTGCTTGGATTCAATAACATGATCCATCTGCTTGCTTTTCAAAACCAATTATAAAGTGAGAAAGGAAGGAGAAAATGTTAGAGCAAAAGGACAAAAAGCAAAGAGAAAGGAGAAAAATGCTGGAGTCAAAGAGAAAGGAGAAGTCGGGGATAAAAAGGAAAAAAAACAAAAAAGAGGAGAGAGAGTATGATCATAATTTTGAACTCATTATTTGTGTGAAAGATTTTGAGTATAGTATCCTGATAAATATTTTCCTCCGTATAGGATTTGGATAATTTTTGTTTCCTGTTTGTAGCATGTTAGTAAAAAAAACCCTTAGTGGATTTTCCATCTTTGCAATGATAGATGCAAAGATTTTCTCATTTATAGCTCTTACACAACACGAGAATGATAGAAAATCCTCATCTGTCAAGGTTTTTAATAAAAAGGGGCATTAGGATTATTTCAAAAAAGTTTAAAATCTCTCTTTGACTCACATGACCTAATTAGGATTTTGACAAATCCAATAACCTAAATAAGAATTTGAGTTAGTCAAGTGTTTTTTTAAGGGAATCTCCCCTTCAAAATATTTAACTAGTTATATATTTTAAATTATAAAAAATACTTTAATACTTTAATACTTTTAAATTATAAGTGTTGATGTGGAAATTTTAACAGTCTTGATTATCATTATAAAATGTTCTAATATATACAAAATAACAAGTGTGGAGGTAAATTTACAAGTGTTGAGACGCGTTTTAACTAGCATTCATGAGCACAATAACTGTCTTGACATTTGTAAATTCACCTATCCACACTTGTTATTTTGTATATATCAAAACATGTTATAATGATAATCAAGACTAGTAAATTTTCATATCAACAATCATTGTTTTACATATGAGCACTCTTTAAAATATTTATTAGCACTTATAAATTCACCGATAAGTGTAATAAGGCATAATTTTTAAAAGGATCAAGGTCCAACTTTATTTTGAAACTGTTTGTGTAGAATCTGTAGGTATTTAAAGTTTTTCTTGAATCAATATCATTCCGAAAGTATTAAAAAAACTAAAATTGCCCTAATTGTTAAAGAACTCATATTGATTGTTAATATTTTTAACAGTTAAGAGTGATATTACTCTTTTTTTAACACTTCCAAAGCAATATTAATGGAAGAAAAATTATAGATAGTCACAACTTCTATGCAAAAACTTTCAAAAAAAAGTTAAACCTGAGTTATTTTTCAAAAGCAGGAGAAAATCAATAAAATTACATAGGATCAAATAAAAATATTAAAATAGTTTTCTAAATTAACACATATAATGATTTAAATATTTTAAAATTTTGATAATACATAAACTAACCCAATTCTTTAAATATTAGAAGGGTCTTGAAAAGAATTATAAGAATAGAAAAATTATATAAAGACATAAATTAATTGGGATATTAAAAAAGAAAAAAAAAGTACATTTCAGTGCTCACCCTTGCCTCATCTTTATCACTTCAATGGAGAGCATTTTTTTCTTTTTAGCTTTTTCTGACACTCTTTGTCTTTAAGGAAGGGTATTCATGTTAGTTCACATTTAAACTTCTTTTCATTTCAGTATTTAATTTCTGAAATGATGTTTCTGATGGTCCTAATTTTAAATAAGATGCTATAATGATCCTTAACTGAAATTTTTTTCAAGATAGAACTTTTTGTTTTACCTTATTAAATATTTTGTAATCACAAATAACTTAAGTAGTTTTTTTTCCTATTTAAAACCCCCAAACTTGAAATCTATTATTAACATTTCCATCAACTAAACTAATGAAACAATAAAACAGTGGATAAAGAGAGTAATAAATCAAACGTGCTTTTGAAATATGTGAGGATTGTTTTGTGCTATACAAGATAAATATGTGAACATTATCTTGTTTCTTAAAGTGCAAAAGTGAATTTTTGATAATGATCCCAAATCGGTACGAAGAGTTTAAGAGAGCTGGACACATACAACTTGTGTTGATTCTAACCTCTTGACCTCCGTACGATTTTTAAGTAAACTCTGAAATTTTCACTAAGAATGAGTCCTTGCAGCCATAGTACAACCATAGGCACTTAGTCTTGATTTCTCTTCTGAACTCCTACAATTAGCAAA